TCCATCCCTGCTGCTGCCCCACATGGTACTACCCCTCACTTGCTGCTCCATCCCTGCTGCTGCCCCACATGGTACTACCCCTCACTTGCTGCTCCATCCCTGCTGCTGCCCCACATGGTACTACCCCTCACTTGCTGCTCCATCCCTGCTGCTGCCCCACATGGTACTACCCCTCACTTGCTGCTCCATCCCTGCTGCTGCCCCACATGGTACTACCCCTCACTTGCTGCTCCATCCCTGCTGCTGCCCCACATGGTACTACCCCTCACTTGCTGCTCCATCCCTGCTGCTGCCCCACATGGTACTACCCCTCACTTGCTGCTCCATCTCTGTTGCTGCCCCACATGGTACTACCCCTCACTTGCTGCTCCATCCCTGCTGCTGCCCCACATGGTACTACCCCTCACTTGCTGCTCCATCCCTGCTGCTGCCCCACATGGTACTACCCCTCACTTGCTGCTCCATCTCTGTTGCTGCCCCACATGGTACTACCCCTCACTTGCTGCTCCATCCCTGCTGCTGCCCCACATGGTACTACCCCTCACTCGCTGCTCCATCCCTGCTGCTGCCACACACATGCTGCTATCCCACACCAGTAGCTGCCCCATGTGTCATGCTGACACTCGCATTTTGCTACCTTTCAGTTGTTGCTGCCCTCTGTTTGCTGTTGCCGCACACATGCTGTCGCCACTCTGTTGCTGTCCCATTATTGCTGCCACCACACTTGCTGAGCGCAAAATATTCATTTCTGCCCCACATTGGCTGATGCCCCAAGTCTACTGCTGCCCCACGCTTACTGTTTCCCCAAGTCCACTGCTGCCCCACGCTTACTGTTTCCCCAAGTCCACTGCTGCCCCACGCTTACTGCTGCCCCACATTTACTGCGGCCCATCACTTATTACTGGCCCACACATGCACCACGTTTCATGCTGCCTTGATCCATGGTCATTCATACCATTTGGATAGTTGGAGTGTTCTGCACAATCAAATGACATCTATGTAAGTCCACTTGATATCATGCATATATGGTTTCACATCGAAAGCTTTGACATACCTGCAACCTTGCAACGAAAGGCCCAAAGTCGCTGGCGTCGATCAAGATGTGGTTCGGAAAGACGAACACATCCATGCCGCTATCGTACGCCACTCCATGCTCCATCACCGCGAACTCCACCCACTCCTTGCAACGGGAGCACATCGCTTCGTAGTTGAGACGGTTTTCTTCAGACTTGCCCGACAACCTTCGCTCCGGGGACTGATCCAAAAATGGCCATTCCACCTGATTGAGGGAAAACAAGAGCCAAAAAAGGGTAGGGTAATGGTCAAAACTTTAATGGTTTCGGGTTTGAGGTCTATGGTCATCTTGCCCCACAGCAGTATAGAAGCCCTTCACTGGCATGGCAAGGGGGGAGGGAAAAAATAGTGGAGAGGAGATGGAGTGGTGAAATGAGGAATGCTTAGTATATGGAATGCCACACAAGATTGGTTTAAGGAACCGGGGGTTTGATAGTGATTAGGGAAATAGAAGCGTTTGAGCCTCAATCCAAGTTTGAAGCCATTCAAGGTACTTGCATTATGAAAATGGTGGGGGGGAGTGGGGAAAACAGAGGGTGAAAAGGGGAGAAGTGGGAAGCCGAGGTGAAGGAGATTGGAGTGAAGAGTGTGTAGGTAGGAAGGAGAAGTTGTGAGGTCATCCACCCACTGCTTCTAAGGTTAAGGGTTCGAACACATAGCAACTGCATGCAGTTAAATACAACACTTGCATATCTACTACCACTTACAGCATACAGGATCCAGGCAATCTGTCGAATCTTCAGCTTGTCCAGCACTACTCCGCGCCTCGTCAATGCGTGACGCACCGACACTGCAAAAATCAGCGTTGCAAATGGCTTTCCGTGCTCATCGCAGTGCCAACCAAGACCCCAACGACCTGTCACACAATCACACTCACACACATACACACACATACACACACACACCCACACACACACAAAACATTCACAACACATTTGCAAACCACATTGAAACAAATCTCACTAATGTATACTATTCATTGATAATATAACACACTCCAGCATACAAAACGTACCACTCATGTAGCGTGCCTTGAATGCTTCCGTTTTGAGAAATTCTTTTGGCCGTGGCAGCTCCGGAAGAAGCTTCGTGAGGTAGCAAGAGTTGTTCTCCCAACCCAGCGCAGTCAAGGCTTGCTTGCGCATCGTGCCATTGATGGTGGTCCGGGTGGTTGAAACAAGAGCATAGAACACACCACGTGTTCCTGGATCATTGTGCATAAAACGCTTCTGGAGCGCAACTAAAACTTCCGGCGACACAAATTCCTTGAACCCCACCTCCAAGGCTTCGTCAACTGTGGGATAGAACTGAATCAGCTTTGCTTCAATATTGTAACACATGAAAGTCACCACACTCTTACAAAGCTCCTGTGGTTTAGGGGTTGGAACGGGGTGGGGAGGGGGGCAAGGGGGGAGGGGAGGGTTTAGGGTTTGGGAGAGGGTGAAGGGGAGTGCAGGGTTGGTGGAGCAGGGGAAAGATGTTTCAAGGGTTTAAGGTTAAACACACCAAAATTCCTGAGGGAGGGTTTAGGGATACCAGAGTGGGTGAGTGAAGGGGGATGGGGATTTTAGACCCTTAAGGTTCACCTCGCCAACACCCATGGGGTTTAGAGGTTGGGGGGTTTCAGGTGGGTGGGAGGAGGGAGGGTTTGGAGGGGGGTTATGCAGGAGGGTGATTATGTGTCAAGGTTCTTGGATTATCATCAAGAAAAGCCTGGGGGTGGAAAGAGGAGGGTTTAGGAAGGACAGGGGTGGTGTGTGGATGAGGAGGGGTGTAAGTGGGTGAAGGGTGGGCAGAGGGAAGAAGGTTTCAGAGGGGGAGGAGGCAGGAGGAGGGGGGGGAGGGGGGAGGAATGTTGTAGGATTTAGGGTTATACATGCCAAAATCCTGAAGGTGGGGGGGGGGGGAAAGGGTTTAAAGGGGCCAAGAGGGTGAGTGGAGGGGGAAAGGGGTTTCGAGGCCTCAGGGTCATCCTCACCTATAACATGAGGGTGGAAAGGGGAAGGTTTAAGAATGACATGGGGGAAGGGTGGAAAGGGGGAGAGGGAGTTCAGGACTTCAGGACCATTGTCGCCAAAACACTAGGATTGAAGGGTAAGGGGTGGGTGGTGGATGGGGGGATGGAATGTTTAGAGGGTCGAATTAGGCGGGAGGGGGGTTGGTGGAGGGAGGGAGGGATGTTCCAGGGTTTACGGTCATCCACACCAAAATCCTGGTGGTTTGTGAGTTAGGGTTGGAAGGAAATGGGATGGCACGTTGCAGTAAGTGATGTTCCACGTTCGGGGTACAATCAATCGCTCAAGGTTTTATAGGTCCCGGGTGGGATTGCTGGGGGGGGAGGGAGAGATGTGGAAGAGGAAGGGGATTCGAGACGGTGTGAGGAGGGCGAGCGTTAAAGAGTCTCTAGAGGGCGGATCAGCGAATGTTAACATGGATACTAACCTCGAAGTCAGAGACCCCTTTGGCAACCACATCCTTAGCAATGGCGAACGGACTGGCCGGAGCTGATTTTGCCGGTGCTGGTTTGGCAGGATTGGTGAGCGATGAAGAGGCAGGAGCATCATCCCCTCCGGCCTCTGCATTGGGATCGGTCATCATCGCAATCACAGCGCCTCCACCGCCAAATTTCTTGTTAATAGCAGTCAGTAATCGCGCTTCCAATGCCACCAGGTCCGTCTTAGAGGCCGCCCCCTTCATTCGCTTTAGTTGACTCTCCGAGCAAAGCACTGCAGCTCCTTCCTTGCACGACCCAAATTCCACCCATGTGCTGTCACGTGCTGTGCATGTTCCCGATGGTCCTGCCCCTGACTTGGAAAGTATGGGTAAATGCGGAACAGCAGGGCACATAAATAAAGCCTAGTCAGCCAAGTATAGCCTAGTCAGCCAAGTATAGCCTAGTCAGCCAAGTATAGCCTAGTCAGCCAAGTATAGCCTAGTCAGCCAAGTATTGCCTAGTCAGACAAGTATAGCCTAGTAAAGGCAAGTATAGCCTAGTCAAGGCAGGTATAGCTTAGTCTGCCAAGTATAGCCTAGTCAGCCAAGTATAGCCTAGTCAAGGCAAGTATAGCCTTTTCAAGGCAGGTATAGCTTAGTCAGCCAAGTATAGCCTAGTCAGCCAAGTATAGCCTAGTCAAGCAGGTACAGGCCAGACCATTCCATCTCCATGAAAGGCAGGTAGGTACAAACCAGGCATGCCATTGTAAGCCGTTGCAAGCCATTGTAAGCAATTCTCCGCCATGCCAGACAAGGGCAAAACATGTAGAACCAATCTGGAATAGCGAATCCAAGCCACGGCAATCTAAGCCATGCCAGCCCAGGCTAACCAAGCCTAACCAGGTCAATCCAAGCCATGGTGGCCAGGCCAGGCCCCGCTATTTCAGATGGAAAGATGTAAGATTCATGTCGGGAGTAGCAGCAAATTTAGAGAAAACGCTAAGAAATAGGATCAAAACGTGAGATATTGTTCCCAGGAAGTCAAGAAAATCTCAAAGCTTCCTGTCACCGAATATGCACGGTTGTGCATATAAGGTGCCAGAATCAGGGTGGTGTAGTGGAGGTGTAGCTATGTTGTGTTTGCAAATTCGAGGAGAGGTAGGTGGGGAACAGGGAAATTGACGCGAAGTTGGTAGGAGAGCACCTGGGGTGAAAACATTGCAACTAATGAGAACGAACCAACCCAGGCTCGAGCCGCACATTGAGAAATGCACGGTTCGAGCCAAGGTCAGGTAAGTTCACTCGCACACACACCTCCGATGCGTTCTGGTTGTTATCCTTTCGTATAGTGGACTATTGTTACCTTACCAGAGCAGGCTGGTGACACACCACTCAGGGAGGACCTTAGAGGTGAGAGTTCTGTCGCTTTCATAACAACCAGAAAGGTGCGCGTACAAGCATGGATGTGTACGAGATGCGTTACAGCAGGAACAATGGTCGTCGTGAGGCGGATCTCGCAGCGCGATCGCTCACGTGAGCGCGGGCGCTCGCTGGAGAGGTCGCCACGGCGGCCTGAGCGATCGCCGCGGAGGCCGGCCTTTCGCGCGGATCAGGTCTCTCTCGCGCCAGATCGCCAGGAGGGAGGGTCCGCCCGAGAAGGAAGAGGCGGATCCGGATCCGTCACGACAGGGAGTGACCCGTGGCGGACGGACGGGCTTCACGGAGCGGATGGCGGTCGTGGGAACCGCCAGGACACGGGAGCATACTGCTCGCCGGAAGAAGGCTATCGCCGTCGCGAAGAGAGAGGTCGCGGGCGAGGTCTGGAGGGGCTCTTCTCGGGTCGCCAAGGCGATCTTGATGTGGATGGAGAAGACGAGGCCGACTCGGCGAATCGAGTGCGGGAGACTAATCGTGAAGGCGAGACCGAGGGTGATGACGAACCCCAGGAGGAAGGCGCTGCCGAGCAGCGCGAGAGGCCCGCTGGAGCTGATGACGATGATCCCGCGCAGGCGGGCGTGGCGACGGAGCCGAGTACGGCGGAGGCGGAAGAAAAGGGCGGTACTACCCGAGACCTGCCGCGCGACGAAGAGAAAGGTGACGGCGGGGGGCATGGCAGTGGCGCGCACTCTCCGGAGCCCCGTCAGCAGCGTGTCGAGGGACGTGGCGATGGCGCGCGTCTGCCTTATCCGCGCCTGAAGCAGGACGGAGGGCGTGGCGGCGGCGCGCGCTCTCCAGATCCGCGTCAGCAGCGTGGCGAGGGACGTGGCGACGGCGCGCGTTCGCCTGATCCGCGCCTGAATCGGGACGGAGGACGCGGCGGCGATGCGCGCTCGCCAGAGCCTCGGCCGAATCGGGATGGGGGACGCGACGGAGGCACGCGCTCGCCAGATCCACGGATGTATCGGGAAGGGAGGCGTGGCGGCGATACGCGCTCGCCAGATCGGCGGCAGAATCGTGACGGGGAACGCGGTGGCAGCGCGCGCTCGCCAGACCCGCGTCTCCCGCACGAGGACAGGAGGCACAGAGGCGGGTACCGCTCGCCAGGGCTACGGCGACACCAGGAGAGTGGACGCAGGGAAAGTGTGCGCTCACCAGATCCGCGGAGGTATCACAACTGGAGAAGCGGAGGGGAGCGGCGCTCTCCAGGTCCTCGTTACCCTCGTGATGAGAGACGCGGAGGCGACTACCGCTCGCCGGATCTGCAACGGTATCATGAAGAGAGGTGGGGAAGCGAGACGCGCTCGCCCGACTGGTACCGGCAACATGAAGAAGGCCGGGGTGGCGGATACGGCTCGCAGCTGCAGCAACAGAGCAAGGATGAGGGGCACGGTGGAGGGTGCCGCTCACCTGATCGGTACTGGCAGCATGACGGAAGACGTGCCAGTGAGGGAGGACGGGATCGACGTAACAGCAGAGAGGAAGGCAGCGGGCTGATGCACAGCCTAGAACGGGCCAGAGAGGCGAGGGAAGGAATACGGTGGGCGAGAGAGAGAGGAGCGCCAGGGAGATCAGCAGGAGGGCCGAGCGAGGCGTGGGGAGAAGGCAAGGGAAGCACGATGATGGCCCCGAGAGTGGAAGTGCCAGCACGCTTCTCAGGAGATCAGCGCACGGGCCCCTCGCTGAAGAACTACCTGATGCAGGTGGGCAACGTGCGGTACAGATGCGAAAGGAGCGGCATGGACTCGGTGGACTTTTTCCTGAGTCTGCCAAACACATTGGAAGGGGAGGCGGAGACATTGTACAGGATGAAGATGGATGAGCTACTGGAAAGGGCAGGAAGGTATGGGGAAGACCCTACTGAAGCATTCCTGAGGCGGCTGAAGCGGCAGTTTCCAGGTCACACCGCCGAGAAGGTCAGGGAATTCCAAGATTTCAGGAAGGGGCGGGGCGAGTCACTGCTCACTTACTATAACCGGCTGGTCAACCTGGCGGAGGATGTGACCTGCGCAGACATGGCCCTGCTCGTGAGTAAATTCCTGGATGGGCTGGAGGGCACTGTGGGGAGCGGACTGCGGATGAAGGTGTATGAGATGGGAACCGATACAACGCTTGAAGAGGTGTTTGAACTGGCAGAGAAGATGGAGCTGGCGCAGAGGAAATATGAAGCATACAGGTCCAGACCTGCGGAGCGAGGCAGGGGGCCTACATGGGCTGCGGCTATAATACCGGAGGAGAAGGACAGGGCAGCGGGAAGAGGGGAGACTAGGCCTGACACACGAACATGCCACAGATGCGGGCAGCCAGGACACCTGCGCCGAGACTGCAAGAATTGTGACTCTTGTGGCAAGCCGGGGCATCGGCGGCGGGAATGTCCAACGGCGCCGAAGTGTGAAGTCTGTGGGAAAGGAGGGCATGCAGCAAAGGAGTGTTATCAGAGAGAGGGAGCAGCGAAGAAGTCGCCGGAAGATTTGGAGAAGCAAATCAGCAGGCTGCAGGTCCAGCTGCAGGCAATGGGACCACGACGGGAAGCTGAGGCGGGGATGTACGCCAAGGAAGAGGAGGAAGAAGATGTGGAGCAGGATGAAGAAGCCGCATTCATGATCTGGGCGGGAGGAGGAGAGAATGAGATGGAGCATGAGGAGCAACCAGCATACATGGCATGGCGAGGAAGGGAGGAAATGGGGTTGCGCAGCGGAGGAAAGGATGCACGGAAGGAGCAGGGGAGAAAGGAGCGGGAGAGAGGACAGAAGCCGGAGGAGCAGGAGGAAAAATGCACTGCAGCACGGCACCCCCAGGAGAGATTAGCTTGTCAGACTTCCGTGCTGCTGATCCAAGGTGGTGCGCTGTCAGTGGAAGGGGAGAAAGCTAAGACGGCTATTATAGACACTGGCGCGCAGAGCGTGATACTCGGAAAGGGGATAGCCGAAAAGCTGGGACTGTGGGCACCTGACAGGCATGTGGTGAAGGGGATGTTAGTGATGACAGCAGAAGGGGGGGAGTCGAAGTGGATGCCCTGTACGAGGACTCCAATAGAGCTGACGGTGCTGAAGGGGGAGAAGCATGAGACGCCGGTTAGAATCAGGTGCGGGATCTCAGAGTCAGAAGACTTTGACGTCCTGGTGGGCACAGAGATGATCTTTGCTTTGGGCATGACCATCTGCTTCTGGAGGGAGACAGTGGAGTTCAGAACCAGGTGGTGGAGGAAGGGTGAGCCACTGGGGCAGCTGCCGGTGCAGTTTGTCAGAACCGAGCCAAAAAGGGCCTACAGGGCAGATCTGAAGGAGGTGACAGCGAAGCAGGGGGCACAGAAGGCTGCGACAGGCAAAGGACAAGGTGAGGTGCCCAGGATGCGTTTCATGGACGAACCTAGCCAGCAGACCGATTGGCAGCAGCCCATTCGGCTGGTGGAGCTGTTCGGAGGAATCGGGGCGGGACTGGCAGCAGTGGTGAGAAATGGAATTGCAGTGAAGCAGTGGATTTACGTGGAGAAAGCACCGGAAGTGAGGAAAATGGCAGAGCATCAGGCGTGGGAGTTGCACAGAGAGTTCCCGAAGCTGCTGCAGGGAAAGGTGATCAAGGCAGCAATGAGCAGAGGAGTGAATGATGTCAGGGCCATCACGGAAGCTGAGGTAGCAAGCTGGGGGCACGTGGACCTATTGGTGGCAGGGTGGGAATGCCAAGGGGTATCATGGGCAGGGAAGGGCAAGGGTGAGCAAGACCTACGAACACAGCTGATGGAGGACCTGTTCAGAGTCATGGAGTGGGTGCAGGCTAGGCAAGGCAGAGTGGCCTACCTGCTGGAGCACTTGGATATGGAGGGAGACGTGAGAGAACCGATAAGACTAGTGAGGGAGAGAGTGACCAGACAGGTGGGAAAAGGAGTGAGCAGTGATGCGGCGCGGATGGGAGCATATGCGCACAGGCTCAGGATGTACTGGCAAAATGTGGTACCAGTAGAAGATCTGCAGAAGGAAATAGAAGGGGTGCAGAGAGCTGGGGGAAGGAAGCTGAGCGACATATTGGAGCCAGGAAGAACGCCAGCACCAGTGACCAAGAAGGGCTACAGCAGGCATTATCCCTGCAACCAGGTGGGACAGGAAAGGCAGGCACTGCCTACCCTGGTGTCATATGAGGGGGCAGCAGGCTATCAGATGGATGGGAAGCAGCCGGGCCCAGGATTGGTGTATGACCACAGAAAGGAACGGTGGGAGGAGCCCACGGCCTTGGAAAGGGAGCTGGCCATGGGGTACAAGGAGAACGCGACAGCAGCCTCGGGCGTGAGTGAGAAGGAACGGAGACGGGCATTGGGGAATGCCATGGATGGGTACATGTTGAGGTGGTTGGTGCAGCGGATGTGGAAGGAGACAGTGCTGCACTGGGGACTGAAGGAGGGAGAAAACACAGTGGCAACGGTGAGGCACGGGGTGTGGGCCTGCCTGCAGAAACAGGAGCCAGAGTGGAAGATAGGTGAGAGCATGAGCGAAGAAGGAAAGGCAGCGATGCGGGCACTGCTGGCTAGGCACCGGAAGGGCTTCGCCTTCACACTGCTGGAGTTGGGGAAGTGCAAGATCAAGGAGATGGCACTGAAATTGAGTAGTGACGAGCCGGTGTTCCACCGCAGGAGGAAGATGCCACCAGGGGATGAAGTGATCTGCAGGGAGAAAATAAAGGAGTTACTGGAAGCCGGACTGATCAGGAGGTCAGAGTCAGAATACGCTGCCCCAACCGTGGTGGCAGCCAGGAAGGACTTGACAGGCGAGGTGTTGAGTAGGAGGATGTGCGGGGACTACAGGGATCTCAACAGAATTACAGTGCCAGATAGATACCCAATGCCGATAGCGGAGGAGCTCTTTGACAAGCTGGCTGACGGGGTGTTCTTCACGACGCTGGACCTGCGACAGGGGTTCAATCAAATCAAGATCAGAGAGGAGGATGTGAAGAAAACGGCTTTCCACGGACCGGATGGGCTGTACGAGTGGCTTTACATGCCCTTCGGGCTGAGGAACGCCTCGGCGATGTTTCAGAGAGTCATGGACGCAGTGCTGCGGGGAATAGTGCACGCGGCGTGCTATATTGATGATGTCGTGATCTTCAGCTTGAGCGAACAACAGCACCTGGAGGACGTGGAGAGGACCTTGACCGCCATAGAAGGGGCAGGGCTCACCTGCCATCCCAACAAGTGCAGGTGGGGGGAGCGGACAGTGCAGTATCTTGGGTATGAGGTCACAGGGGGGCAGATTGGCATCCAGCAAGCGAAGGTGCAAGTGCTGAGCAGGCTGAGGGAACCAAGAGACAAGTCAGGGTTGCGTGCGGAGAGAGTGGCTCAGGCAACCGAAGGAGCTAAGGGACGAAGAACATGAGGACTAAGGCAGATGATGAGGGTAGAGCTGTATCTCCGACATTCCAAACCTCGAAAAAACCCTTAGTCGTAAACTAGTTTCAGCCAAACGGGACAGAACCCTGCTAAGCCTTCATCAGTGCTGCTTTCCAGGTTCAAGCCATGGTGGCCAGGCCAGGCACGGCTATTTCAGATGAAAATTTTGAAAAGCAAGCCAGCAAAGGCAAGCCAGACCAGCTCCAGCCAAGACCAGGCTAGGCCAGGCCAGGTTAAGCCATGCCAAGCCGGGCTAGGGAAGGCCAGGCCAATCCAATTTACCAAGCCAAGCAGCCAGGCCCGGTCAATCCAAGAAAGGAAAAGCCAAGCCAAGACAAGCCATGCCAAGTTAGGGTATGCTAGGCAAGTTGAAGCCACGCCTGGCTATGCCAAGGCAAGCCAAATCCCAGCCAGGCAAGGTCCGGCCAAATTCAAGGCTATTCAAGCAGAGCCGAGCAATTCTGTAAGTCCCGAGCCATCTCTGTGAAATGCAGTCGCGCATCCCTTTGGGGTCTCCAGGAAGGGGGGTCTCCACGAAGGGGGGTCTTGGAGATGATCTTTCGCCTCGTCTTCCAACAATCCAAGATCTGCCTTTTGAGTCGACTCAAAAGTCAGCTTGGGGTCTCCAGGAAGGGGGGTCTCCAGGAAGGGGGGTCTCCAGGAAGGGGGGTCTTAAAGATGATCGTTCGCCTCTTCCAAGAATCCAAGATCTGTCGCTACCATTCAAAGCCCTCGTTCTGTCGCGGTTGTTTCGAAGAGGGTTGGCCTTTGAGCACGATCCATCCGCATGGCATTTACTTGCTGCTTCTTACCAGAGACATTGTTGCCACCCCTGGTTACTGTTACTTTAGCAAGATTTCCAGCTATCATGACATAGACCAAGCCAGGCCGAACCATGTCCAACCAAGTCATTCAAGTCAGGCCACGCCATGCCAAGGTCATGCCAACCCAGGCTAGCCCAGGCTTACCCAGGCTAACCCAACCATACAGCAAATATTGGCTAAGTCAAGCCAAGCCATGCCAACCCAGGCTAGACTAGACCAAGCCATGCCATACCAGACCAGGCTAGCCAAGCCAAGCCAAGCCAAGCCAAGCCAAGCCAAGCCAAGCCAAGACAAGC